GCATCTTGAGCTTCCTAATTCCTGCTCGTCGCTGCCAGTGACGCTGTTGGCTGAGATGGGCTCTTGGACACACTTCACTCCAGCTGCCCAACCACTATCTGCTGACGGCAGCCTCTGTTAGTTCTTGTGCAGAGCTACTCTTGAAGCAGCTGTAGGGCGACTCCTGCATGAATGGGTCCTATTTCCAGTCTCTGATACCCGGCCTTCTCCTTAGCCTAATCAGATTAGGTTAATAGTATAAGCTAGGTTATTTAAAAAAAAAAAAGAAAAAAGAAAAAGAAAAAAAAGGAATCTGCCTTTTTAAACTTGTGTTACTTTTGTTTGGCCTTCATTGCTTTAGATTACTCTCTTTGTAAAAGGCTGGAGAGCTTGAGGTTACAATTTTCAAAGAATGCTTTGAAAATAATACTTAAACTTGATTGCTTTCTAAATTTCTACTCTGAGTGCATAACCTCTAGTCAACTAAGTTTTCCAGAGTTTATGGAGTGCTAATGCTAAGAAGATTTAAAAACTGGATGAGCAGAATCCATCAGTTTATTCTGACTTTTCTGTCCAGCTGAAAAGTAGGCTTCCTTGAAAAGCAATGAGAAAATAATGAACACATGCTACTACTAACCTCCCGACTACCTAACCAGCTGACGATGACTTCCAGTGATCCTAAGGGTCATGCTGTTTCATCACTGAGGTTAACAGGATTGTTTATGATTCTGCTTTCAGCAACCACTTAATACACTAATGCCAACGGTATGAGCTTACCTGTGGAGCAGGTTGGCCCTGTGTATGGCCGGTAGCAATCACAGTGATAACTCAGCCACAAGTTGATACAGCGTCCCCTATTCTGACAAGGATGGTTTTCACACCAATCCTTTCTAGTACATCCTGTCTTGACATTTAAAGATGATTCAGGTGAGACATTCTCTGGAGTAATAATATTCAAATCTATTTCAATGTCCTGAAGACAGCCTACAAATGAAGGGGCAGAATGCATATTATAGATGTTAAGTAGAGAGTTGCTGCTAATGTTCCCCACAGGTAAGCCGCCCAAAAATGTGCTCTGAAATGCAAGCATCACGTGATCATTATCTATCACAGCAGAAGTTTTATTGACACATGATTCTACACAAGAGCTGTCGTGTAAATTTAGAGTAACAGCTCTTGCCAAGGTTACCTCCACTGAGTGCCATTCTCCATCACTGACATTATGAGCAATACGCAAAAGAGCCTGTGGCTGGTTATTGACTTGAATGGATAAGTGTAAGTAGCCATTCCATAACTCCAGCTTCACAAATGTATCTTTCTCCCCTCGGTAAAATAGAAATGCTTCAGGTTGCACAGTCTGAAAACCCAGGTTTATTCTGTAGAAAGATTCCTCTTTATGGGACGTGGGATTCTTCAGCCAAAGGAAGCTGTTTCCATCAAAAGAAAATGTGGTTATGGTTTCACAGTGTATGCCAGTATATCCAGGTGAGCATATGCAGCTGAACCCGTGTTGGCCATTTTTTAAATGTGGGATACATATTCCGTTGTTTTCGCAATGCTGATCAGTACAGCCATAGAGAACTTCTGTACAGTTCCAGCCACCATAGTAAATCCCTTCTCTGTCCGTAGATGGGCAATGACAGGTATAATTCCCAGGAAAATTTTCACAGATTCCACCATTCTGGCAAGGGTTCATGTAACATTCATTGATGTCTTCGTCACAGTGAACACCTTAGGAATAAATAAAGAATTAGACATTCTAGATTGGATGAGAGAAGCTTAAGAATAGCATGTGCTTTAATTATCTTTAATTAGAAGGGAATACCCTGGTAAAAAGGTGACTCATCCACAAGACTAATATATGTTAAATATGTGACACATTTACAAGCCAAGGTTTTCTTGACCCAGGTATTACACAAACACTTCAGTGGTAATCACATTTTGGAGAAATGAACAAACCAAACAAAGTACACTTTTGAGATTGATAATGTGCAATGAAATAGAGATCAACATCATCACCCAAAGATGTGATCGAGTAATTGATTTTACCACAGAACAGGTGGGAAACTGGAACTGGAGAAGAATTTATTTGAGAAAAAATTATCACATATAAAAAATCAAGAATTGTTGTTTAATTCATATTCATAGTACAGTATATTGATAAGCTAGAGTATAGGCTGCCAGTCTTCTCTTTCTCGCTGTCATTTGTGTTATCATCGTTGAATAGGATAAGAAATTGCCCGGTAGAGATTCCCGGTCCTGAATGAAACATTTTTGAGCAACAATCTTCAAGTGAGAGCCACAAGTCTACAGGTATCGTGTATCTATATCTATGTTATAGATCCAGTGGGGCAATCTAAAAAGCATGTTACCATTCCTGCAAAATACAGGTATGCGGAGCTTGTTATCTAAGAGTGAAATTCACAGAATGAGGAGGGAGCAGCACAAGATAACAGTAAGAAATCCAAGGGAGAAGAGCTTAACCTGTTGAAGTATTAGGTTAAAGTTAAATGTTAGTAATGTCCACAATTAATGTATAGTTGCCATATGTTAGGTGCATATTCTGTTTGTTCACAAATGAACAACAGATCTTCTAAAATAATTTCTTACACTTCTTCCAAAAACAAGGCAGCAGTGATTTTTGTTCTACCAGCCATAATCTCATATAACTAAGAGAGTTCACTTTGAAAGTGGGGAAATGAGAGAATATATGTTTAAGCCAACATTTTGTGAATGCCAGCAGGGCCTAAATATTGGGCTCACAGGCCTACTTCCTCTTGTAAAACTCATCTGTACATCCCTCTGCACTGTTGCTCATCTATAAAGCAATGATTATAGTAACATCTCCCCCGAGCATTCGAACAAACATATATGAAATGGCTCAGGGAAGATCAGTTTATCTCCTTTGGAAGCCTGCAATAGATCCAAGTGTCCAAATTCAGTATTTCCACTTCCCTTCATTGTTATTCTAGAGAAGAATAAGAAATACTGATTTTAAAGGTAACTTCGAAGTAACTTCAGCATGTAGTAATTAATAAACATAATTTCATTTTTGCCTGCTTTTGCCTTTTTCTAATTGCCTTAAGTAGCTCTTTACTAGCTTACCATGCTAGGTGCCTGTAAATTATTTAATGAGGTGTGATGAGGTTCACAGGGTTGTAGCTAGGGACCAGGCACTACACCTATATTTATCTACAAATTCACATAGAGCTTTATTTCCATTGCAAAACATGGTCATTTCTCATGGAAAGTTGTGGAGTAGCATTCAGCCACAATGAACAGCTTCAAACAGAGATATATAAATGCAGTTATTCAGGCTAGTTCTTTGCCTGTCGACTTCATTCAATCACAATTGTAACCAGAGCCACATCAGAAAGCAGCAAGTTACAGGAGAGGTAAAAGGGACCTGAGAATTGGTTGAGATTTGTTTCAAGAGAAGAAACAGAGCCAAGTGGTCACAGGAAGCATATAAAAGGCCCTCTTAACAGTGGTCCTCCTCATTCATCATTCTCCAGTTCTGGTATACAGTTTCCACTTGAAACTTCAGATTATCAAATACAGCTAGTGCTATTGCTGTTGTCTGACAGTGGGGTTTTACACAGAAGTCTCTCTGCTTTCCAGCGAGGCTTATATTTATTCCAGCATGATATGTCTATGTATACCTTAATGTATAGTGGCACCTGGCAGAAATATGAATCATTGGGACTGACTTTCTTAAAATGATGTGCACTTTCCAAACCTTTACTGACTGGGGCACAGAACAATGTCTGCTTTACCCAGTTTATGCCAATCTCTGTGTTAGTGGCTTGTCCTGCTTTTTTTCATTCTGGAAGTGAATGGAATATATGAAAAGTGAAGTTGCAGTGAACTGTGTGCCACTTTCCCATCTTTAAAATAGAAAACAATGGGTAGGTCTTATATATGACTCAGTTTTGTGTATCTGCAAAGGTGTGAGTGTCGTTCTTTTGTGGCAGAAATGAAAGTGAGTATAAAAATACATAAAGAAGCAGCAGGATCAGGTATGTGCTTGCCCATGTCAAGAGCTATAGCACTTCAGAAGAGCCAGAATGAATTTGAAGAGTTTTAGATTGGAAGCTCCCATTAAACCTTTGGTAGAAAAAGTCAGCCAATGGCAAATGTATGAATGGCAAACTGTAGTTTCCTGCTCTGTACTTTGTCGCTCTATTGTCAGTGCTGTGAAGTTATTCTGTGCGTATTTGTTGGTTTACAACAGCACCTGTGAGGCATCTTCTTCACTTTGTATGTGGGGTCTGAGCCACACATGGCGTTAGTGACATCTCTCCAGAAGGGCTGAAGCAAATTTATGAGCTGAACCCAAGTTTGAGATAATGTTTACCGTCTGTGTTGTTCTCTACCTTGCTTCCCCTTTCATGAAACTGTAGTTATTTTTACAGAATAGCAATTGGAAACTCCTTAAGGCATGGATTTACTTTCTGCTGCAGTTGGACAATATGCTATCATTTGCACACCACTTGGTGCTTAGGTGCAACATTGATTACTAAATGCAAAGTCATAAAGGCTTCCATATCTCAATAGAAATGTTTGTTTTTTAAATAATATTAATGATATGTTGCAAGTAATGACTTTGAATATATAAATACACGCATGCATTTTATTTTGTAATGAGATTAGCACAAACATAAATATAGGTCACACTAAAGGACAAGTAGTAAACCATTTTTTCATATCAGGGTTAAGCAAATCACTTATTCGTACTAGCAGTAGCTGATACTGCTTGTTATGTGCCAGCTGCTATGCAAGCAAAGACCACTGTCACTCAAGATAAAAGCACTCTAGATAAAAGGATTAGTCAATATTTATAGAACTGTATAAGTAATTCAAATAGCTCAGGTTGGAGAAGAAGTTACTATGTAAAAAAGAAAAAAAAAAAAGGGGGTTCTGAAAGCATGTAAGACATACCTAAAGTAAGTGCAAGTGTGAGAGGGAATATTAATTTTCTTTTATGTGGTTTATAGGCATTAGCTCAGCTAATAATATTTCTATTTTAACTAAAATCATTAAGTATTATTTTCTCTCCTGAATGTATTACACACCAAAATGTTCAGATAAAATAATCTGAATTTTTTTTTTGCTCCATATTCAGTGATTATTTTTCCTCTTATGAAGTTTAATTTAAAACAAAGATGATAGGCTCCTTTGACGCTCTTGTCAATACACTCACAGCTTTGTCTCCTTTTGTCACTTAGACATCATTATTTTAGGGTTACTATTCTCTAACCATTCTCTAACTCATAGTTAAAATATTGCTTTCAAATTTAGCAGCAGAAATGGAAGGACAAAAGCAATTATTCATGCATGATTCTGCTAAGTGCTGCTAATTTCCAGTTCCATTACACAGTAAAAAGTAAATTACGCTTTTTATACGCACAATTGTTTAGAAATTTGTTTATAACCTTCCACACCTTCTTGACACCTTATAAATTTCATACAAGTACAAGCAAATAGTCTGGATAGATACTACATGCTCAATACTGTCTTAACTGCACATGATATTTTAAAAAAGAAAATCTTTTTTACCTTTAAACACTGTCATTAAAATGATGTAAGCTTGTATCCTAGTTGCAATCATCTTTTTTTCTGAAGTAAAAAGGATGGTTTGAAATTATGCAGCCCACAAAAGAAGTTTCAAAATAAAATTCAAAACCATGCTAGATACAAGAGCTCTTTTCCAGGATTAGCTTGCTCCACTTCTGTACCTGCTGATGTAGTCTGATGGTATATTTTGCTCAAGCCAGATCAAGAAGGCTTAACGTAAGACTCATTAGCCTGCTTACGCAGTAGATATGTATTCTGCTTGAACTCTTTTTCAGAACATTCTACCAAGTGTGCTCATACTAAACTTTCACTGAGTTTCCACTGTAAACCATCACTGTGTTTTCATAGAGACAGATTTTTAAGATCTCTTCAAAACTGACTAGACATTTTCTATGATTCCTTTTCCTATTACAAGAATGATTTTTTTTAAGGATCACCTTTTCCTTAATTTTCAAAAGGTTTATTCTTCATAGTTGTTGTCATTCAGAAAAACTATATCTCAATAGGCAGAAAGAAAACACAGAATGGCTCTCATTTCTATTTTGTCTTTTTAACTTTTATTGTACTGCTTACTGGAAATTTACTTTTGTAGATTTTTGAGTGTGATTGAGTGTGTATTTATTGAAATGTCCTTTCTTTTAGCTCGTGGACAGGAAGTTTTGGCTTATTTAATGAAATGAGAATAACTATAGATTTCAACAGACTGAGGTACTTTCTGTGACAATGCAAATGTGGGGCTTTTTTTTTCTTTCTTTTCATTAAATTTTAATTATATGATGAATTGTAGGTCAATATTTCTTTGTGTAACTAGTGAAATGCATGAGAGCAAAAGACTCTTTCCAGGGGCCGGTGTTCATACCACCCTGTTGGCATAGGGCAAACTCTCCACTCAGATCTTTGTTCTGTTAGTTTCCCATTTTGCATCCTGAGCAACAGTCTGTCTTGTTGTATTTCCTTCGCGTTACATGAATAACTTCATCAGTCACTGAAAGAGAAATCAACCCCATGGTCCAGCAGTCGGGGCTATGTGAAGTCTTACTCCAGTATATTTTTTTTCTTATTGCTCAGGACAGTAGCTCCACCAAGAGCCAGAGCTGCTCCCTAGATGGTCTCACCCTATCAGGATTTGAATTCACAGTTATGCAACGTGCAGC